CTCCGAACCAAGTTTCCCACTTTTGGCCTGTAATTTTTTTGTGACTTTTCATTCGTGACATCCGTGACACGTGCAACGTGACAGAAACGAATTTTCGCACCCTCTCCTGGTTACCAACAAACGAAACGAACTTTCGTGCTCGCCGTTGTATTTTAATCGTGATCAATCATATCCTGTGCAGAAATTGATCTAATTAGCGACCACGTAAAAGCAATTAAAGTTGTTACGATTAAAAGGTCATTCCACTTCGATGATCTTAAATAAAGAAGATTATTTAAACATTAATTTCGTGTTGTCAAATTTTGCATGCATTAAAAGATACATATATTTTATAAAAAAATTTGTAATTAAAATAAAAGTTCATCAAGTGAATTTTTATTGTTTAATTTTATGTTTTATTTGAAAAAGAAAAATTTGGCAATTTGCAAAGTAAGGTATAAAATGGCTGAATTAACTACAATTTATTCAATATCGATGATTTGATGATATATACATCATGAAAACGACGAGAACATCTTGATTATTAAATCTAGAGATACTGTCATAAAAAAAAAACAGAAAGAAGTGGTAGAGAATCAAGGATAAATAAATTCAACGTTTGATTTATTGATTCGATGCTTGACCGTGTACTTCAGCATTCAATCAGAATAAAATTGAGAGTAAGAAGGCTTGACTTATATCGTGTCCATTCGTTCTTCGTGATTTATTTTTGATTATAAAACATTCTCAATCACGAATTGCCTTATTTAATCCTTGGATGGAGAAATTGGGTCTTTGTCAACCAGCAGTATGATTTGAAATTAAAATTTAATTTTCAATGCATTTTCATTTTCCAAATTTTATATTATTTTTCCAGTTTTAATTGATTCCAATGTTTACTCTTAACAGCTTAGAATGATAATTTTCTTTTTCTTTTGATATTTTCCTTATCTCCACTTTTGCTAATTTAAGTTATTCTTTTAAAAATCGTCTAAATTGTTGTTGGAAAGTATTGAAAAGCTAGAAATTGTTCATAAAAGGTGAAATACTTATTGCTCAAGATATTCGTGACAGGTTTTCCCGTATTAAGTTAAATACAATTCACGAAGGGTGGCGTGTGCTCTCAGCTTGTCGTGCTCTTTATCAGCTCTTTCGCGAAATGTGCTTCGTCGTTCTTCGTGATATATTGCACTCGTCACAAGTATTTATCTAGAATATTTTTTTAACGACCGCATCAAACGGATTCAACTGAATCTTTCAATCGATCTGCTTGCAGATTCCAACAAATAATTCTTTCTGTTCGATGTGCTAATTTAATTTGCCTCTTTGAAGTGTTCTCGCCTCGTTCTCTTTTTAAATACCTATACCATGGGGATAAAAGTAGTTTCAATGCAGAGATTTCATGGGAAATACTACTCTGCGAAGGAAAGTTCTCTTTGAACTATTTAATCATGCAAAGTAGTGAATAAATATTTGCAATATTCATTAAAAAAAATGTAATAGCAGTTTTGATAATTTGCAGTTTAATGTACAAATGGTAACTTGAATTATACATACTGCAATTCAGATGCAAAGTCATCTTGACCCATAACTAAAAATTTTTTAATTAACATATTTTACATAAAAAACGTCTACAGTTAATATACATGGAACATTTTTAATGAAAATATTTGAAATATTTTAAGAGTCATTGACTTTTTTAACATTTTACCCTAATATTTTTTTTTGCTCTGAAAAACCATGGGCATATAGATGTAGTTGAAAAAAATAGACGGAGGGAAAAAACCTTCTATATTTTGTAGATTTAATTTCTGGGTCAAAATGACTCTGCATTCGCCATGTGAAAATTAATACGTTAACTGGCATGGCGATTACCAGTGACCGACGTCTCGAATTTTGCATAATAAATGGTTAAAAACATCGATTTAAAAATTCAAATTTAAAATTAATAAATTGGATCTTTATATGCAAATTCTCTCTGTAAATGAATTATAATTGTTTCATTCTGAATTTTCAAGCTTCTTCCAAATTTTTTAAACAATTATTCTGTAAATTGGTTAATTAAATTTCCATCGACTATTTGCTAAGTTTCATAATTATTGATCAAAATAAGGGCAAATGTTCATTTTATAAATCTATATATTTACTGGAGTATCCATAAGTCAACTCATTACGAGATGTTATACACCGGTAAACGTGTTAGCGAACAAACTTTTCCGTTTCATTTATTTTTCAGACTACCACGATTACCTCGTGTTACGTGATGGTTATGAATCTTTAAAAGAGTTGTTACGTACTTTCATTCGTTATTTATGTCACTATAAATACATTAGGCGGATTGCAAATAGAAACAGGCAAGATCTATTGTAATTTATCGCTCTGAACTAGCATCAATTAAAATATGTTATTGTATTGAATTTTGAAAATTTTAAGATTTGTAGGGGAACAAATCTTTTTCTTAAATGTAATATTACCATTATTACCAATCATTACCATAATTACCATTTTTAGGGTTTTTAAAAATACAGTTACATGAATAGATGCCATTTTTTAATACCAATTTCACTAAATTATTGCTTCTTTGATATATTCAAATTTATTTATTTTTTATGTAAAGTGTGATATACGTTGAATGTTGGTGATTCCAATGGTAATATAATCTCATTTCATAAAACGAAATGTGTATAATAAATTCTTCACTGGAACACATGTCACTGACGTATCCTACATTTATCAATATTATCATTTCATCGTGCATTTTCCTATATTTTAAAATATTAAACGGAATACAGATTATTTGATGTGTTATCTTTAACTTCAAATACTGCTGTAATTGCATGTTCCAACGCTGTAACTGTTGCGTTAAACTCATCAAAAGTTTCATCGAATAGTAATCTCATTCTCGATGAATCTCATCTATCATTTTGACGATATTTAGCTTCTTCTGTTAACATTTTCTAATAATTATTAGAATCGCTTATAATTAATTGAAATTCTGCCCCATAAAAGAATAGGTAATACTTGAATTATTACTTTAACAATTTAATAAAGTAAACATTGTTAAACTACAGTAATTTTTATTTGTACTAGTTGATCTAATAAATGTTTCGAGCTCTATCCCTCATGGAACGAAGTGACCATGACAGGATAATACAAGCACAATTTTCTCTATCCACGAAGGCTCGACTAATCGATATTTATCGATTATACTTTGGAAGTTCAGCCTTAGAACGCACGATCGAGAATCCTTTTACACTCCTTTGCCATTTAACCCTTCAATTCACACATAGCAACTTAATATTTATTCTTGATACAATAAAAATTGTATCATATAAAAATGTTTAAGAATTAAAATTGAAATTAAACTAATTTAGTTTAAAGATCAAATGAATATTTCTTTTGATAATTTTGTATAATTCAAATATTGTTAACATAATATAATATTACTTTTTCTACAAGAATTATAAAAGGATACAAGAGGAATGTTTTCAATTATTCGTATTAAAATTAACGATGTATTAAAAGAATTGTAGATTTAATTAAACCTTTTGCTCGAATAAGCATGAAAATTCTTTTAGTAAAGGATTATTCAATGGTCGCGTGTACGTAATTCGTTCAAAATTTACATGCATTTTAGTCTAATGTACTAGAATTATAATAAATAACATTTTGATCTTAATCTGTAGAACTTATCAGCGATCTTCTCACTTGGAAAATTATATTAGCGTTATAATTTTGATGGTATGATTAAATTTTACAAATGTGCCATGTTTCATACATTAATACAGAAATTATATTTGAAGGTTTCTATCTTTATCTGATGCTATTTTTATAAATAATTAACAGCCATCCATTATTGTATGAAAACTGTGTATTTTATAAAATTTCAATTCTTTTCAATTGTGCCCTAAAATTTCGGGCCTAAATGTTCCACGATTCAATGATACCAAAAGAAATATTCAATCAGATGTCTATACCAAGTTCGTCGTCTAAAATGAATAAAAGAATATCCATGGTCCGGTTTCCACAGTATTCATTTTTACGACGGCGTTCCTTCTATCTGTTTTCAAGCCTGTGGTGACCCGAGTATCGCCTGGTCGAGCGGAATAAATGGTTCTGGAGTCCGTTTACATCTAGGGGAAAGGGGATTGGCAACGATGATGACGATCAGAAATTTTCACCTACCGTTGAAAATCGTAGTCGATTTTTGAATCTGAATAAATTGCGATAGTTTCAGTCGGTCTAAAGACGCGTTTTACTTTCGACGAGGTCGTCGATGAATTTACATTTTGTTTAACAAAGCACGATCGTTGGAATATATAATTTTTTCGATAATCGATCGCCACTCGCACGCACCTACAGCATCGTATATGGCGAGACTTCTAGTGAAAGGGGGTTGCCTTTAGAAATCCTATATTATTCAAAACAATATTACAAATTTATAGAAAATTTATGGTTTGTTTTGCAAATTTGACTATTTTTAATTAAAACCCTTTTTAAACCAATGATTTTTGGATTAATATAGTCTGGCATAATTTTGAAGGTATTTAGTACAAAATAGGTACTTTTCATGTTTTATTATATTTATAACGCTTGAAAAATTAATATTTTTCTCCAGCTTATAGATATTTTATTTTCAACCCTTGAAAAATCAACATTTTTTTCAAATCTACGGCTTTGATGACGGCTTGTAAATGAAGTATCAATAGAAAGAAATTAATAAGCCACCCCTCAACAGATAGTGCCAAGAATGCCTTATTTCCCGGAGGTTTGTTTAATTTCCCCAAGACCTCTTCGTTAAATCGTATCTTACTAAAACCCCGAACACATTGTACGAACTTTCCCGCCGTAATTAAAGAAGTTCTCGAACGTGTTCGATCTGGCCTGATAAGGCGAGGGTGTACGCGTCGGAAGTAATTAACATCGAGATGCCGAGAATAAAATCGTAACGCGAGAAGCCAGGGCGTACGGGGGGGGTGGAAAGTGAGTAAAGACAGGCAACAAGTAAACGAATAACTCACCTTGCGTACCCTTCGAGCGAAGGACTGCGCCTAAGTAGGCCACGTAAATCCCCGGAACTTCAATTCTCGGTGTTCCACTTCGTCATGTCTAACCGAGTTCTTAGTTCCATCTTCCGGTGCTTCGAAGTTGTGCAATCGGGTACACCGTTATCGGTGTCGCGACTCGACAAACCGTGGATATTTTTCGTCCTGAACGCATCGAGAGAATCAGTTCTTCAGGTATCACTAATTATTCCAAACGTGATACCCTGAACACCGATTGATAAAAGACGATCTCCGATAGCCAGTTCTTCAGAGTTCAGAGGATGCTCTGATTGATAAGAAAAGGAGCAAGCTGATCATCGCGTATCGGAAGCATCCTCGAGGATGTTCTACAGGCCCTTGCGATCGTTTTAACGATCGCGATCGATGTCCACTGTCTTTCGTTCTCACCCGCGCACCACATAACTCGAGCTAGTGTCAGGATGTCGTTTAGGGTTGAACAGAGAGAGAGAGAGAGAGAGAAAAAAATAATGGGAAGGATAGGAGGAGCGAATCGATGACGATGACGTCGAAGAACCGTATCGTACGTTTCAAGAGTAATCTAGAAAGACATTGTCGGTCCTTGGTCGACGGAAGGACTCGTGCGGAAGCGCGCGACTTCCGGCTGTTGTCGCGATTCAAACTGCGGCCCGAATGTGGCACGACGTCGGTGCTCGGCCAACGGACACGCGGCGTGAATTCAAGTGAGCGCCGTTTGAGCGTCGCGATGCCGTGCACCGTCGCCAACCTCGTTCCAGGGAACGCTTGCGCACCAGTGTCCGGCGCCCTTCGACGTCCCCGTACCAGGGATGAATCGTTTCTACGTCGCGTTGTTATCAATTCACCTAGTTTTCTTCATAATCGCCGGGAACCCGGGGCGTCGGTTCGCCCTGTGAATTAACAATGAGCCACTCGATCGTGCTGACGACACGTGAACATTGTCGCCCAATGATTTTTCGTCGTCCGTCATCCGAGTGAAGATGTACCACTGTTGCTCTATTTGGTGTTCATTGCATTTCTTGCATGGATATTTTTTTCTTTCTTATAATCATTTTCTGGCTGGGTACTTATTATCATTTTAATTACGTTACACTTGAATTTTCATTACCATTTGTAGATAAGAAAAAAAAAGGAACGAAGGTGCTGAATACCATTAGCATAGCATTAATGATACGAAGAAGAGAAATGAAAATGAAAAATTAATTATTTCTATCTTTAAAAATTCTCATTATACCGTGTTGCACCAACCTTAGTCGTTTTTAGCGTAAACACTAGGTAGTTTTAATTGTTATATTGTGTCTCAACCCCGAATCCCAATTTTTACACTGGAAGTCGCACACTCTCTCCAAAATCACAGATAATATTAATATTACAATAGACTCTCGTTATATTGCCGTGGTATTCTCCTTATCACGTAGTCCTACTAATTATACGAGTTTACGTCGCAACGCGGAGTGATCAGGTCGATTAGCGTACAGCTTTCGGAGATACACGACACGCTGCAAACTGTGCAACGGCAGTAGGTCGGCGCATGCAAAGCTCTATCGGTGATCCCAATCTTCTCCTTTGACGAGGATGTGTGATCGAGCACAGTCCAAAATTAACACCGTGCCACAGGAGCTACGAGTGAAGCAACCTACCGTCACGAATACAACACAGAGAAATCAGTTGATTTGCTCCTTTGGTGCAGCTTCTTGATGATTCTTTTGATAAACTAGGTTAAAGAAAAAAATATGTTATAGTAATTCGTAAAAAAAAATTCACACCCCCTTAATTAATTATACTGTACAAAATATTTTAATTGTGTGTCAAAATTAATATAACTTTATTAGTTATATTAATATCACCTTTAAATCATACATAGAGTCACCAAAGATCGACTTCCAATTAAAATATTAATTTTTTAAATAAATTATTTCCAATAATTAAAATCAGTCAACGAAAAATCGCAACAAAGTGGCGACCACTTAACGAGTTTAAAGACCAATTAAAATGGTCGAATCTCAGTTCCTGCATCAAAGGAAGTTACAATCGTTAGGCCCAAGGCGATTCAGCTAAAAAACGATCAGCTTCTGTGGAGCAAGTTGAAAACGTTTCCCCTGGTAGGAAGGAAATCACAGCCATGGATATCTGTTTGAACGAGGGTAATATCAGTGAAAAAATACGGAAAGGGATGAAGTATTTTGGTAGAGTTGAAGAGTGACGAGAGAGCACAGGTAAAGGTATGGAGTCTCTCAGAATGACGTCGCGTCGGCAACTGGAATGGATGAATGGAGTGGTGTGACGAGGGTGGTCAACGTGAGAATGTTCTCATGAAAAGAGAAAGAAAGAGGAAATGGTCAGAGACCCTCATCATCGTCCGCTAATATTTACACATGTATATACAAAAGCCAGCTTGGTTACCAAAAGAACGATCTCGTTGGTATTCTCTGACAAAGATGCCGGAAATTATGGAAGTCGCTTCAGTGACCGCATCTAACCCTCTTTAATACACCTATAGACGTCCACCTATCTATCATCGTGTGCTATCGTGTACGGAAAGAGGATTAATTAATAATAGAAGAGAGGGTTTGAAGTGCATGTGACATCATAGTGATAGGTAGATATTTGGAACGTGTTTATTAATATTTTGGTGTTCGTATATTTTGCGAAATCTTTGAATAATATAATTTTAATTATTAACAGAAACATATTTAATATATCATCTTTTTTTAAATTTGAAGATATTCACATTTATCACTTTAGTCTTTCCCAAAGATCCGAAGGTTTTTCATCTTTTAAGGTCAACAATGCTCCATTTCCTGAACTACTCTGGGTCGTTCTAAACGTTTTCAATTGCAATTCCTCCGACTAATATAGCTGTGATAGAATTCAAATTATAGTCGGTATAGTAGGATGTGACATGAAATTGATAAGGGGCTTTAGAGACCCCTGTTTTATACCTCGTCTGCAGTTTGCCACTTTATTAATAAATGACAATAATGGTACCTGTTTACAGTATCTTCTAGTGATAAAGATTGAATAGTAACATCATTGACAAAGTCTATAATGAATGATTTATCATAAAAGACTCTATTAATGCTAATGAAAGATCAGAAATGCTTATTTTATGAAAGAACTAATTTTTCTCGTTTCTTAGTTTCCTAACTTACTGTTAGATAACGCCAGAGGTACAATTACCTGAACCCCTTGACTTTAAATTAACATATAAAAATAGGGCTTTCAAAGATATATATATAACTTTTATCAATAAATATTTTTGACTTTAAAAAGTAATTAAAACTATTTAAATTATGTTAATTTAAAGTCGTATTATTTATCTGCGAACAAAATCGATGTTGGTAATATAAAATCCTCGGTAGTATAGTGGTCAGTATCCCCGCCTGTCACGCGGGAGACCGGGGTTCGATTCCCCGCCGGGGAGGATTTCTTTTTTCATTTTTGGGTTTTTTTGCTAACTAATTACACTAAATATTCGATAAAAGCGACAAAGATCTGAAGGATCAAACTCATCCCCACCACTGTAGGGTGTTTAGCGATTAAAAAAATTTAACGATTCTTAAAAATACATGGAATTTTAATAAAAATAACACCAATTAATCTCATAAGTGTTCTTTATTTTTTGTAAAATTATACAGCCAAAATAATATCGTAATTTATGTTGCAAAATTTCAGAACGTAGACATATTCGATTCGCGTTATCATTCCTCGTGGACAATTTATTCGATCAATAAATTATTCAGCGTATCGAAACGATTCAATAGGTACTCGTTATTTATTCCCTCTAGCGACGTTAACAAAATGATAAACGTTACACATTACAATGCAGTCTCGCTACAATCAACGAAAGCCACTTAAACTATCTTGCAGGTGTTCTTTATTCTTTTGTAAAATCATACAGGTGTAAGCGACCAGAGTCTACACAATGTAGTCAAAGCGAGATACAAGTGACATGATCGTTCAAGGGACAAACGAAGATCAGAGTGTCGTTTATGGAACCATTTGAAATTGAAAATTCCTTATTTTTCTTCTTCTCTATGTCGAATTATACGACACTACTGAAACATCGTTCTCCCTTCAAATACACAGAACCGGCTTTAGCGTGTCTGTCATCCTGGGCGAGATCCTCCCAGCCCCAAAAATTGCTCAATAATAGCGTATGCATATAAAAATTTTCCAGCTCAAAGATGGTGCATTTTTTAAAAATTATATTTAAGGCGCCCTTGGGTGTTCATCCCCCTGGGCCTAACCTCGCCCTCCCCCAAAGCCGGTTCTGCAAGTACACACACACGCGCGCATACACACATACCACACGCACACACTTGCAAATTCAGGTGGCTCGAAACGCGCGAAATCTTTCGTAAAAATCTTATACAGAAATTTGCCGTTCCCCCGTGATGAACGCGTGATTTAAAAAAAAAAAAAAACTTAATCGTGAAAATACAGACGTGTACACCTAAGGTCTAAGAAAAAACTAGAAATTCTTTGCAGATTAATTATCTAAAATATATGTATATATATGTATGGATGTATCAGCTAAAAATTTGCAATTAAATTGTTGAGTAATTTTTCACGAACAAACGAACAATTGAAATAAGTGATGCATTTTTATACAAATAGCTCTATAGTACGTAAAATTTGATTTCTCTTTCTTCTTCCTCCTACTACAATATAGATATATAATATACATATATATTTATATATTATATAATATATATAATAGCTAATAAATAATCCGTAGTTAAATTTAATTAGTTTAAATCCCGTTTATCTGACGGTACCTATCCAACGCTTAAAGTATTAAATCGCTTACAATTTATCTCGTTTCGTCCATAATTCTTCAAAAAAGGAAACTCTCCTTTGTATTAGTTTTATTACCTACTATACCCTTATTTAATAATGATTCATTATATAACGAAGTCGTGTACGATGGATTACCGATGCGTTTAGATCACCATTCGAACAGCCTTGAAGAATATCGCGATAAATTAGGGAAATTACAATTATTCATCATTTTTTTATTACTGGGGTAAAGCAAAGGCAAACGCGAGGCTGAGGAAAAATAATGCATTATTGAAAAATGTTTATGACGACGAGGATTAAGGAACACGGTTTGAAGATATTTTGAGAACAAATTATTTTCATGCATTTAGAAAAATGAAGATTTCTCGAATTATTATTGCTAAAAATTTTTTAATTGAAGTGCAATTTTCTTTTTAATTAAGGGTATAATGTATAGGCAACAAAATTTAGTTGACAAATTATTTTATAGAAATTTTCTTAAAAAGGAAATTATTTACAATAGAATTTTTTTATTAGTGTTATAAACACAAAGAAATTCCTTTTTCCTGCATGCAAATCGAATATTTTTCCAAAATTTAGCAGTGATAATAATTATTGAAAAAAAGCGTCAAGAATTTGGAGGAGAGAACCGTTGCCCTAATTAAATGTTATATGCAAACTAACCATAATTTAATGCAAAATATCTAGAAATAGAATGGTATGGAAAAAGTGTCCTTATTAGTATAAATAACAAACTTTGTCATTTTCATACATTTTTGTTAATTTTCATGGAATGAAAGAAATAACAATTTCGCTAATTAGAAGTTTCCTATTTCAATTTCGTATGAATGAAGCGATTTCAGTGATGATTCGTGTGAAAAATGAAATTTCATTTTTTTTGGGGAACAGGCAACGCGTGCTCTCGATGTTTAATTCCTCGCCGCTCGATAATTCCAATTACAAACACGCGCTCGGTGATTAAGCTCGAATAGACACTTGATTTCCGATTCATCGAACAAACTAGTTCACGAATGGACGAATTCTGAAAAATGAACGAGCGAAGAAAACAGTCGACAGAACGAAATCTTCAGGGACGTTTAAGCGTTAAGAATACAATTTTAATCGGATGTAACATACGCGTGCAATAATGAACTCCTCTTTGTCGCAGACGTACATACGTATAATATCTATCAAATGTACAAATAATTACGCGAAAATTGCGAACATGAGAGGTCGATCGACGAATAAAACCTGTTCGATCAATTTCATTCGGATCTTCGCTCTATGTGTTTGAAATTATGTACGCCGAGAGAAACGCGAGAGAAACAATCGTCGATCGCGTTAGATTCTTTGGTCAGGAGACTAAAATACAAAGATCCTTGGTGATTTTATAATTATCTGTTACAAATTTTTGGAATTTAACACTATTGAAGTAATTTTTATTATTACTATATTTTCCTGCCACTTTTCAAATCACAGAAGCGCAGAAAAATTTCGTGCGGGAATATTCAAATACTCAAATTTAAAATAGTAATTAAAAGGAGTAATACTAAAGGCACAGCGAAGAGACTAAGTTTTGCAAAAATGAGACTTTCTAAAAAAAAATAAAACGTCTGAAGAAATATAAGGGAACCTCGGATATAATATTTTTTCCTGAACACTTGATATTTTTCGCGTGGTTTCGAAATTCTATCTCTCGCATTTCCATTCACACATTCACTTCACAACCCAGCCACAATAGCGAATACACAATTGATTTCGGCGTGACGCTTTGAACAAGCTGAATATTAAGACGCATCTACCACGAAGAAATAGAGTTTCGCTATATTTTTATCCGTTTTATCTTTTCTTACTTCTCAATCTAACGAACAAACAGTGTTTATTAGAGTTTATGTATATTTATATATGTAATAATAATAATCATAATAATAATCATTCATAATATCAATTCATCCCAACAACAAGTTTTAAGGTATCTTTTTGATAGTATTTCTGTTATTATTCATTTTTTTTTTTTTTTATTCTTCAGTTCCCTTTCGTCTTTCTTTTTCAATCGTACTTTCTTCCTCGTCAATATATCTCTGTTCATTATATATATTTATATATATATATTTATTTATTTTTATACTTCTTTTATATATATATATGTATAGACTGATATCAACACGTATAACATCGAATTCATCTATTAATCTTTTTTATTTTTTCATTTTCTTTGGAGAAAACTGCGATAGCTGAATGAATTCTTAATTACAAAGTCTCGTTTTTATTTTTCGATCGGAACGAGATCGATCCCCGATCGCTCATGTCGACTTTTTTATTTAGTTTCGGCGTTCCATTTTTTGCATTTTGACCTGTGCCTTTATCAAGTGCCTCGTGAACACTTATTCTAAGAGAAAACGAAATTTCGAGGATTTTGATTTCCTCAACTTCGAATACACAGGGTATTGTTCTTCTCTGTTCTTTAACGTATGTGATTTTTTTTTAAATTTTTAGTTTTGTCGAACGGACACGCGCAATCGTTGCAATTACTTGTACACACACAGACAGCTTAGCCTTTTCTAATCGTGGAATGAAACGGTGATGTGTCTTATCTTTCTTCTTTCTTTGCTTTTCTTATTTTGTATCTCGATTTCGTGGCTGCAGTTTAATCGTTCGCGATCTTACATCTGCTGATTTTTCTCAGATTTTTTGAAGTTAAGACATAAGATCGCTAAGGTATTAAACTGAAGTGCAGTTGGTCAAATCAAAACATAAACTCGGCAGTAATCATGATGACTCTATCCTGACACGGTGCGTTGACATTCATGATCCTATATATATGTATAGATATATTGTATATATAGTACTGTACAGTCGATAAAAACAAGGAATTTTTGAATGAATATTTTACGTATCACGCGTACAGGTGATTTAAATGAATTGCCATGTTGAAAATGGAAATCATAAAATGAAAACTTCCTCCTATTTCCACGAATTTTCAATGATTGGGAGCATAATTTTTAACTAAAAATTATAATTACATTCCATTCATTATCTTATCACTTTGCTCATCTTATTTTAATCCTTGGATTTACAATTCCTTTTCTATTTCCATTTTTTAAATTTTCTAAATTTTAAATTTTATCAGATATTTCAAATATCAATATCGATGACAAATCGAATAGAGAAAGCATTCATTTTTTACTTTCCTTTTCTCATAAGGCAATTCATTTAAAATACCTACACATGCGCCGGAATGTGATCAAGTAGCTAGTGGTTAAAGCTTCCGCTTCCTTCAATGATAATTGTACAAAAACTCGTTCGCACGCTGGTTTAGCCTGCAGTGAAACATGGCAGTATTAATCAGTAAGTAGACAGTGTTAATACGATATGATACAGAGAGCGAGTGCAATCGGAAATCACTCCTGTAACGACAGTCGCGAATCATGCATCGAGAGACAACGTTGTGTCTTCATTTCCATGGTGTTTCTCTTCTGTTCTCATTCAGGATTTTCGAGGACGAGGTTTCATTTTTCCCATATGTATATATACATTTTCGAGCCAGTTTGTGGCAAGTGTGTCTCACAACGTGATTCGCACACACACAGAAGTATAGCGTGTCATTGTCATTGGAATCGAAGTACCATTATTAGGCGAAACTTATCGACGGCGTTCGATGGGATCACTATAAGCTAAATTTTTGAATATCTGCGTGAAAAGGATGTTATCCTTGTTTGGTGTTCGATGAACTTTCCTGATAATTTCTAAGTCGTTTGTTATCAGACCTGGACAAATATTAAAAATAATGACCCAGAAGAAAGTAAAAGAGACATCTCTATAAAAAAAAAAAACAACCATCAGGCCTTTGTACTCGAAGAAGGTTCCCCGAAATCTCAGCTCTGCCTCCACGTTCGTCCCTCGCTCGTGACTTTTCTCTAAATTACTTGGTACGGTTAATTAATTATTTGGTACGATCATTGGCGCTTCTAAACACCGGGGAAACTGTCTGTCCCAGCCACGAATCGTCCCTTCTAATGTCTTTTTTATCCCTCCAACTCCCCGTGGACGTTCGGATACACGCGGGACTCGACCGTTTCCGTCGATACGATAAAACTTGAAATGAAAAAAAAAAAAAAAACAAAGGATCTCTATCGTTACGTAAATAACACCAGCTCGTTCGTTAGCGAACCATTATTTAATGACGACGATTAATTCGACTGCTGAAACCGCTAAGTAGTACGTTTCCAGGTTAAGCTTCGACCACTTAAGTTGTCGGTCTGGCGCTTGTCCGGTCGAGTATCCTCGTTGATGATCAGCTCAAGGGTCTAGACCTCGAGTGGTTTCCTTCTGGATCGTCCCCGATCGCGTGTCCATATTTTATTTAACAGAGAACACATTTAAATGGGCCATCAGTCAGAGAACTCTGATAGGACCCGACGAGATTTCAGGATTAATCGGTGTCGTTTAAAGACACAATTGATCCTGAAGAGCATTCGTCCATGACCACGATCGACGTTCTGTTGGACGTGGACGATCGGAGACGGTCCCGATACAAATTCCTAGGTGCACCTATGACAATATTCGCTGAGACTCGTCCTTAAAGCAGCCATTTCGCTACCAGAATCATGATCAAGTGCGGTGCCAGACTGGTGATCGACGCGGTTCCGGTCACTCTGACGTCGCTATCCTTCATGAACACCTTGTCGATCACGTGGATGATGCCGTTGGTACACTCGACGTCTGGACGGAACACGTAAATCCATTTCCCCTCCCACTCGATCTGGTAACCTGTAAAGAGAAACGATTTTTCATCGGTAAATTGATGATGAAGATGTTGAAGGCTGACTGATGGGGTATCGGGTGAAACGAAGCGAGTTGCGATATTTTTGGCTGCAGCGATAGACTGTTTCCAATGAGCGTTCCTTTTGTCGAGCATTAAATTGGCCGATTATCATACTAAGTGGCGCGTTTCGAAATTATAATTGTTTTGGCTACGAAACATAAAGACGCAAAATGCATTAGCTATATTTGGGCAGGATAGATTCATTAGTTAAATTTTTTTTGTTTTGATTGAAAAAGATTGAATATTTGATTCGTAATTGTTATTTGAGGAATTTAATTTTGAAATCATTTTATTATATTAATATATTGACGGTCACATAAATTAACGCGTTACAAATTTGTAAGGCAATAATATTCGTTACAAGCATAAAACACATTGGCAATTCGCGATTCGCAGACGAACGAGCACGTAGCAATTAGCACCGGGGGGTAATCAAGGCATTTGCATTTAAATGGCTGTCGAAAGGTGCATAATAAATCGTCTTGCGGTCTCGACCCATAATTGTGCACGTTCTTCCTCGGTCACCACTTACCGAGAGTGGCCGGAAACCGCGAAATTGTCGTGTATCGAAATTGAATCGTGTCACAATGAATTTTTCTCGTCAGTCAAATCGTTTAAACCCTTTCGCTACCAAGAGCGACATAATCGTCCGGTATAAAGCATTTACATTTTAACATAGCAATCATGCAATAGAAATTGTAAAAATGACAATCAACATAGAAAATAAGGCAAATTCATGAATTTAATATACAAATGTACAGAAGCATATTTTGGCAAAGACGACCATAGCGAAAGGGTTAAAAATAGTATAATTATGAAAAAAAAACGATTAATAAATCATTCTAAAATGGTTTCATCGTATAAAATTTTTTATTTTTTATTTTTTGAGATGGTAAATTTGATTCTTGGAAGGCAAATGTCATATATTTTATAATAGAAAGATGATTTTGTTAATTTTCTTTAAAATAAATTGCATATCTTGTTTGATAACGTGGTGTGATACAAAAAGCTTGTCGTGAAGGGTGTAAATTAAAAGAGACCCCAGATAACTCGAGCCGAGGACAATTTACAGGTGTCCATATCGTTCTGTTTCACATTCGTTTTGGCCATTTATCGTGGCAAAAGGAAATAGCGACCAATGTGTTTCGCATGGAAACATTCGCATCTATCCAAATTCGTAAGTTCTTGTTTCGCTGTATTTTTTTTCTTTCATGTGAAATGGATATAACACAAATTTACACAGACTGATCTTTTTTTGTTTAAATTAAATTTAAACTTTAATTTTAATTTTACCCAAAAAGCTCAAAATTAAAGTCACTACATAATTCTCAAGCAAATCTGCATTGATCCAAATGAAAAATGTAATCAGCAAAAGCAGCTACAAGTAATTAATAATTATTTGCATATTATACAGCCTTTTGCAGTAAATTAGCTTGCAATATTATCTTTCAACTAATTTTGTCTTATTATTGTAGAACCAAGAAAAAGGATTCTATAATAAAAATGGGTGAGACAAAGAAATATGAAAGGCTGCTGCGTCTATCTAGCTCGATGAACGTTTTCGATTTATTCGGATGCGAATCAAAGAAAGTATGTTTCCTTTCATCGTGCGCCCAAAAAAAGCAATAATGTGAATAATTGTGAAGCGAAGCGCGATCTACGTATTTTGAGTACAATTAAGCATTCCTTTCAAGCATCGAGCCTGCATGAAACGCGCGTACTTGATTGATTTCGAAGGTAATCGCAACGAAGGAACATGTTTCCAAAAGTGCGAACGAGGACACGTGTTCAAACGATTCTCGTATATTGCTTTCGTGAAAGTTTCGTCACTTCCTGCTATACGTCGATTGAGTAATTTTCTTTGATATTTGCCGACTTGTAGAGATCGAAATTGTGTAGATATGTAAGGCATCAATGTCTGTTTTTTTAAAGAGTTTCCGTATGAAATTTGTATATACTATCCATAGGTTTAGCTAGGATTCTCCCTAGGCACCCCAGGGTTATCCCTAGATTTACATAGATCTTCCCCTAGGTTCAATCAAGGTTTCCCCAGGGCTCTCCTTAGATTCACCTAGAGTCCTCCCTAAGTATTCCCAGGGTTCTCCCTAGGTTTACTCAGGATTGTCCCTAGATTGACCCAGAGTTTTCCCAGAGTCCTCTTTAGATACTTCCAGGGTTTCCCAAGACAGAAAGTAAATGGAGGAAGGCTTCTTCCTCTACCTCCCTCCTTAATCAAGAAAAGTCTACATTCCACTTAAATGTACACTCCTCATATTTTTCTCTGATTATTAATTAAAAGCAAGTATAACAGTAGGAATGCCTATTTTAGGCTCTCCTTAGGTCCTCCTTAGGATCTTCCTAGCCTAGAAGGAAAGTGATGAAAGCTTCCTCCCTCCATCCTTTCCCTTAACCCATAAAAGCCTTCGTTGTACCCAGGTGTACAATAGTCGAGTGTACGCGCGTTAAACACGGTGTGCGTGAAAATGTGCGAAGAATCCTTGACAAATCGACAATGTGTGCGTTGCTCGTACGTGGTGAAAGCACGTGTCGTCGCTCACCGGCGACGTCTAAACACTGAACTCACTCACCGAATGTTTCTGGACGGATCGCGTTTTCATCGTACTTGTCATCTAAACGTAACGAAATAGTACCAGGTTTGAGATTGACCAGGATGGACTGTACTAGTTACGGAGCTTTCAACGAAGCTTTTCAACTCGTTAAATCCGTTCGCTAAACGACAACACGACAACAACAAGGAATTTGTTCTGGACACATTTACGGTTGAGTAGTGACGATATTTGAAACAAACGTTCAGTGTATCTGAGAAGATATCTTGGATCGTATTGCAACAGAGTGCTTATGCAAATTCATCGGTGGAGAAAGGATCATTTTCTACTCACTTTCACCGTAGTCCCGGATACGAAGCTTCAGGCTGTCTCTGGCGGCTGGAAGGATTATGGTGTCGTTGTGTTTCATTTCCTTTAGCTTTGCCATTGTGAACGCTTCGTCTGCTATCACCAGGTGTCGTTCCAGGATTTGTTTCGTCTAAAATATCAATTATTTATATGTTATGAATCAAATTAATTTTGTTAATTATTTTCTTAATTTTTACCAACAAAAAAATACATTTCTGAACTCTCGCTAGTTGCAGTAATAAGGGAACCAAAATTTTCTAAAATTGTCCCATTTTTGTACCATTTCTTTCTTTAGAGCAATTTTCGAGTGTCATTAACACTATTGATCAGAAGAGTATAGTACTCACGTGATAGCTGAAGTCATTCATAAAAATTTTCTTAGTGGTAGAGGGGTAACTGATAGCTGCTGACTTCCAGGCATCTTCTCGGGGAGCAAAGTAGGTGAAACGCTTCGTGGTGTCGTTCAATTGATCGTTGAAATCACGCCGTTGTCCCAGAAAATAGGTGGTACTTGAAGAGAAAGAATAAATGTTAGAAATTTATCAGTATTTACAAATAACCATCATTTAAAATAGAAATTCTCATGAAAAATAGAGATATATAAAAATTGTTTCTTTATATAATATTTAATTCAAAACACTCTTTCACGAGACAGAAAAAGTGGACGTTGTGGATCTTGATGTTTGCAAACGTACATCAGTAACGAATAGCCTAGATAGTAGAGGAAAGTAGTAACATCGATGAATTCTCCGGGTATCATGGTATGGGGTGATGGAATGCTGACACTACCATCCATCCACTGCATCGAGTAACGATAGCTATCGTATAAAGGGACTAATGGCATTAAAGCCAGTGCATAACTGACTGCTTCCTAGTTGCCGTTTGCCTAACGATTCTCCGTAACAAGATGGGAAACTTGCTGATCACCCTCATGTCCACTTTGTTTGCGATAATATATTGTCCTACACTGAATTTCTACCTGAAAATGTCTTGGCTCGAAACTAAACTACGAGAAGGTATTTTATGGGGTGAAGTAGAAATATTTAATTCTAAGTGATTTTAATTAGCTGCCATTTCTGTCCTAAATTATTACCCGCGTGTTCCTGATTATCATAAATGAGTAGTGGGTAGTTATCCTAGAAATGAAATTCTCGAAAATATGAAATTGTAGATAAATAACAATATACATATTAAACTTGATTATTTACAACGCGAAGCTTCATAGAATGAAACATCGTCGGCATAAATGTTTAGGTACTGATGGCCACTCGTTTGAAAAGAGGTTTTATCGCTACAGAAGTTTATTTATTGATCATCGGGATATCGTTTAATTGGATTTTCCATTACCGACGCACGGGTAATTGAAATAACGAGAAGAGAATTAAATCACGATGGATTTAACTTGGAAATACATCTACGATACGAGCGTTTGTAACTGTGACTATTTCGTTGAAAGCAATCTAGTGGAAAGAAAATACATTTTGAAAAACGAACATTGCTGAATAATAGATTTACAGAGGATCAAAATGTGTTAATAAAAGTTAATCAATATTCAACATATTCTTGTCTCACTATATTAACTAAAATAAATTACTAATATTAACTTTACTATCTTAATTTGAAAGAATGAAGCAATTGATTAACCATCGAATTTACCTATCTTACGTGAATCTCCTGGAACGAAATTCATTTATTAGTTAAACTTAGGGTGATGGTATCGGTAGAGAATTGGGAACAATAGGGTTCGATACGAATTTAATAGATCGACGTGTAACCCTAGAACTACCCAATTTCCACCGTAAGGTTTACTGTTTATAGTTTCTGTCAAGTGGAGCACGTTTATAGTAATTGGAATAGAGATTTGTTGCTACATTTTAATTAAATTAAAGCATGAAATTTGAAATTTGAAAATTAATTATTCCTATTCTTAATAATTAGAACTTCGATACATGCCCATCTTCACTGTGGCATTCAACGTGTTAATTACCATAACAAATAAAAAAATAATAATTTATACTCACTTAAGCATGGGGTCAGTCCTAAGTTTATCGAACACAGTAGTATATGGTACACCAAGAACCCTATCAATGATGTGGATCAATCCATTGGTAGCAGCAATGTTTGCGGTGACCACTGTTGCATTCACGCCACCACCTTCCACGGTAACAATCTGATTTCCGCTTGGTTCTTGAACTACATTAAAATAGAGCTTCTTCCTGTCTGCCGCCGTAGACACCTATAATAAATCAATGAATTTTTAAGATAACCATAAGAGATTTAACGTGCTTGAAAACACTGAAACAGCGATAGAGGGTACAGAGGAAGTGAAAATGAATTTGTTCTTCGAATAAATCAAATCCTTGAGTCTTATAATTATTTATAAGTTGATAAAGTTTAGAAGTTTAGAATTAAATTATCAACATTGTGCAAGCTGATTTACAACTTGGTAAATTATTTTGTAATTAACAAGCGACCCACGATTTTATTCGAAGAACTGTTGAAAGTCAGCCTCGTGCAAACAAGAACTCGTACATATCTAACTGCGAGTTACGACAGAAGACGAGGGGCAGAGTTAAAAGTTATGCACGCTATCCTGCTGGAAAGTTTCTCCAACAGCGAAGAAAGAAGAGAATTGGAGGGAACGTAGTTAGATAGTTGGCAATAAGTCTTCTTCGTTATGTGTGCATCTGTATGTATTCGTGTAAAAAGGAAAAAGAAACCTAATGCAATAATTTCCTGAAGAGATTCGTGATTCAGCATAATTTCATGCTGTTAATTTTATCTACTCTTGTGGTCTTATTATAGGTATTTGGTTATCATTCGGTTATCTTCCAAAATTACATATGCCCCCATGGCTCCTTAAAAATTTCGACTGGTCCCTTCATTTTTTTAAAACTTTGAGATTCCAGGATTTTACAATTTCAGAATTAAAAATTCCACAATTCTAAGATTTTAGAATTCCACGATTCCGGAATTCAAAATTTCACAATTTAATGAAAGCGGAAGGGAGGGAGAAGAAGCGATCTAAAAAATAGAGAAAGAGAGACGCAGGGAGTAGAAAAGAGTTTAAGGGCAGTGATTCCTTTTCTGGTTGATCCCCTGCTCATGAATTTTCCTATTTGCACTTTGCACCACTTCCAGTTACTTTTCTGATCTTGAGTTGCCGTCGTATTCGTAGATAGATGCACGTACTGGCGGGACTAGCGACTAGCTGCTTCAAAGGGTAGATCGAATAAATTCCATGAAAATCCATGCCTCTCTTGCAAAGAATTTTCCTATAATCCTCTTTCTGGAAGAGATCACTTCTCTTCCTTTTATTTTTTATTTTTTTATTCCATACGATTCATGCACCTTCTATGTTCTTCATTTTACGTTTCATTCGATTTTTCATCTTCTTTTGCATAAATTTATTATACCTTTTCTTTTCAATTTATTTTACATTTATTCTTTCATTTTTGTTTTGTGATAAATTTTGTGGTTTTATGAACCATTCTCAGTAGTTGGTACAAAATTAATAATTCCTTTTGTTAACTAAATTTTACTGGAAAGTAGCAAAATTATCTAACATTGTTTGGATAAATCCCAGTCGAGTGAAGTAAATCAGCACCTGTTAGATATCTTCACCAAAGTATACATAATTCTTTGTTGCTTTAATTCCGCTTGTTTCGCGATTCCATTGAATCCAGCCGAGTTGTAAGTGCCATTTATTGTCCTCGAGTGAACAAAAATTCAAGCGGATTGCGTGCGTTGTACAACGTCGAATAAATTAATTACGAATGTACACGGGTTGGACACAGTTGTAGAAAAAAAAAAAGGGAGAAGCATAATCTCGTACGAGACTGGACAGGTCGCGTTACGAAAAACTCCAGTGTTTCCCTCCCCACAACTGTTTTATCTTTTCATCGTGAGCTGTAACGGGGTGTCATAAAGCAGCGGTCTGATATAAAACATATCCTCGAGATAAATTGGTGTGAAAGCAACGTCCAGGAGCTGCTTAATGCAAATCGGTCCAGCTCTGGAATGAAAAACCGCGTACATTTCGAGCGACCAGAGTTTCTGCAGAACGATAAAAATAAGAAACAAATGCTAGTTCAGATTTAATATCCATGTAAAATTGTATAAATTCCTTTTTTCTTATTCTCAGAGTACACACAGGATTGTAAGATTAGGTGGATTTTAAAAATATCCTGTTCGGACAATTGAACTAAGGAGGACAAAATTCTAAGGTAGATCTATGTGTAGGTATTAATACTTCAAGTCTGGTCAGTGATTGTCGATTTTAATCAGAGAATGCAATTACGCGATATCAGCGTTATAGCTAATTACACTTGAATATCCGTGCTTCAATCACTCGGAACGTCGATATGGAACATTGCCTTTAATTACTACCTTCGCTTGTTAATAAATTAACATTCTACTGGCGCGTATAAAGTGTCATAGCGTGCGTAATCAAGATTGCCTGACTTTAGTTTTGCTACTAATTAATACTTAATTGACAGAAAATGAAATATATTCCACGTATAATACAGACTATGTGCAAATAATTGAAGTCATTTTTATAGTTTTTGAAATTAAAAAATTCTAATTTTATCTATTTCTTTTTTTATAAAAAGTTGGCAAAAGAATGGTAAAATTAGAAAGAAAATAATGTAAAATAAAAAATTAAATTTATTTAAACATGATTAAATATTTTTGGTTAATAGTCCTTTTAATTTTGGATAGTAACAGGTTACAGCTTGGTCCATTGAATTCTTAATAAGAATTTAAGTTATCAGCGAACAAGGAGAGTAATGCAAAATGGAAGTGTGGCATGAATTAATTTACCAATGGATTACGATAACAGGTGAAACAGGTGTGCTGATATCGGCTCGCTAATTGTCGGTTATTAAACAACATCGATCGAGTAATACGCGCGGATATTTATTAACAACGGCTTCGAATATTGACTATACTTGCCTTCGTTTAGCATCTACGATATACACATTAATTATAGTAAACAACAAGTAAATCGTTCTAATCAGGAGTAACGAGATTTCCGCGTAACGTTGAAATTTTCGCCCAGATGTTGGTATCGATTATCGAACGAATGAAATTCCACACAAATATTTCGTTATTATCTTCTAAAAACTAATAACTGAGAGAAACTTTTAAATTAAGAGAAGGAGATTAACTTCATTTCCCTCTAAATTACTTGATTTTATTAATATTGCGTTCAGGGTTTACCTTATCGACTTTTTCTTATTTTCATTATTATTTCATAAAATTAATAAATGTGATTTTTAAGGAATTTAATATCTCGAGTGATTATTATTTAAAATTTTAATATTATGAAGGTTAAAATGAAAATGAGAAGAAGAGATGAATAAAAAGTGGTAAGAACAATTTAATATAATAATAAATATAAATAATACATAATATATAATGTAATAAATGATATGACTTTTAATTACTATACATATATTATAAAATTTAGTAAATCAACCGTCCAACGAGACGAGTCAGGATTTGTTTACAAATTCTCGCGCTCGACCCAGGGTCGGAGCTCAGTTGTTTCCAGTTCTTCAAACGATTCGGTCGAGGTTTGCGTTTACTGTCTCGTCTCGTTGGATGGAGTATGGAAGGTACATATAACAAAGGAAATATTAATTCTAATTTTCCCACATATATGTTTATACGCACGTGGTGCATATAAGCCATAATCATATCTGCATTTATCTTCAACAGACCAAATTAACTGCTCTTTAGTCACTTTTCATTGCAGGAACAGAATGGTAAATGGATCTTTAAGGATACTAAAATTGTCAAGCTAACAAATTACATAATTATGAACTTAATTCTTCTTAAATGATAGTTTCAAAAGAAGGATAATAGAATCATTATTTTTATTACAGCATGGTAGTTACACCAGGTGAGAATGATTTTAAAAATAATTCCCAGCTTACACGAATCGAAGCTGAGATCGAAGCAATTTATCAAATTGACGGTAACAGTTAAACGAATCGTGAGACCAGAAATATTTCACTTACGAAAGGAATTACGTTCGAAATCGTATTTTTCGCGGTACTTTCAGTCGTTTATTATCGCCGACTAAAGTATAATTTTTCATTCCGGATTTGTAAAACGTTTCTGCATCATCCCATAAATTTTCTCGCGCAAACGCGTGTATAAACAAACGGTAAATCCGCAAACGATGCGACGAAAAGAATCAACTCGGTTAAATTTATTCAAAGGATGTATAAATTCTTCTATAGATTCTACTAATTAAATATTATTTTTCAGACATTCCAGAATAATAACTGAATTACATGAAATAAATTTTTAATCGCCCATCATTTTGTTACATTTTTGCTTACATGGATTAAAAATTTTTTAATTGAATAAAATTTGCAGTATAAAAAGCTTTTTTAATATGTCCAAGCAATTAAAAATATTTTCAAAATTGAAAAACTGTAGCAAAATCCAAAGCAATAGGGTATAGTGAAATTATACTTTCTTATAACCATTTATGAAACTGTGAGTTAACTTTTCCTCCACTGTCTTTATATTTTTTCCATCATCGCTAGAGGATACGAGGTAAAATAGCAGAGAGCTTTTTGTTATTCCACCGAAAAGTTTTGTCATGCTGATTGGATGATAATGAGCTAGCCAGGAGCGAAGAAAACGAAGGAACAGGGGTTCTTGGTGGTTGATTTTCATGAAAAGTTTGAAGAGAGAGTAGAAGTAGACCCGTGTTGTTATGACGTTAGACGTCTTTCGTCGAACTTTTACCTCACCAATCCACTTAATCCTGAGGGACCGAGCCTCCTTATCGAGTTCGTCCAGGGTGGTTCATTTTCATTTAACGCCACTTCTAGGAACTTCCGGCTCGTTTATATAACGCCCGATTAATGTAACATCGGTCCGAAGTTCGATATTCACAAGTCAATATTATTCGCAGTCTCAATGGCTCGACTCGTAATGAACTATGGTTTACTTTGAATCGCGAAACGGCTTGTTAGAAAAGGGTTTCTGCTTTCAACATTTATATGGAACATTTGTTGGAACTTCAATTAGCAAGGGAGAATCTATTGAGACAGGGGTTTCTTTTTTTTTTTTTAATTTTACTTTTCATTTTTATTAGTTTTATTATAGGACATAGTTGACCTAATGCTTTGATCTGCTAATTAAATCAATTTGTAAGAATTTATATAGTGGCACTATATTGTACTAATCATTGTAATTATCAATTTTCAGATGACAATTGGAGCAAGATGGCGATTGGTGATCAACGTTTGGTGAGTCGCATGTTTTATGATACCTGTAGTTAGTTCTTTCGAAAAATTTTTTTAATTCAACCATTTGGTACCATTAAATTATGAAGTACTGGAAGAAATGATCACATTGTGATTTGAAAGTATAAGTATTTCTAGGGGTATTTTATTATTTAGTTTTGCAATCATATTATAGAAGGTTAACAAATATAATAACAAAAAAATCTCTTTAGTTTAAATACAACCAATACCAGGGTGTCTGATACAAGATCTACACAAAAGTACTGTACATTTTGTCGCGATTGAAATATCCAATAAAAAATCATATATACACAGAAAATTCAACATCGACAGGTGCCTAATTAATTAGTGAAGGTGCAAACGAGTAGCATTAGAAGAAGGGCAAGCATGGGTAATAGATAGGAAGAAATTACGATTAAGTCATTAGGGGCTTCATTTATACTGGTATTAAGTACAAAATAATTGTTTGTACAAGGGTTTGAAGATCGGGATCAATATTGTAAGAAGTAGAATTTAGGCATAGTAGAAGAAAAAGATAGAAAGATGCAGAGAGTTTCACAATAGTGAACAGAGAAACACTGAAAGCTGTATAAATATGTAATTACCCCGTGTGACTTCTCGTTCGAGGATTTCTTTAAACAAAAAACAGAACAATAGGGTTAATCAATTTGCAAAACCTGCACTTCAGTTAGATACTTCCTTTTTTTAATTCAAAAAATATACAAATGAGGAATTAAAGTAATGAAAATGAAAATGTTCAAACTGAAGGATATTTCATATATTTTTTTTTCAATTATATGAGTAGTAATGATTAGTAATGATTAGATGTTTCAATTTGCTTTAGATTGAAGTATTATTGAAATTGGAACAGAAAATAATTAATTAATATAGGTCGTTTGGTGAATCCGAAGTTCTTATTTACTACCACTGTTATAATGATAATAATGAATCTATAATTTTTGAAAAATTGTGTTTGAATTTTCGACAAATTAAAGAGTATTCAATTTGAAGTTGATGATCAATTAATACTCATTAGAGCAAATCGAAACTTCTTATGACACACATTATTGTACACCAAATCTTAAACCCATTTAGTCACAAATAAAGAACAAATTCGTATAAATAAATCCAGAACTTACCTGGCTGACAGTTTTGTTCTTGATTTTGTCGAGAGGTAGTCGCTCCTTAACGTAGTGAAGATTCAGGATATCCTTGACTCGTTCCTTATTCTGAAGGATCTGTTGTACACCCGGTTCTTCGAGAGCAGCATTGCTCGGTGCAAAGAGGGTAACGTCGCGAAGATGGCTTATGGTGCTCATGAATTCATCTCCGAAATCTCGAATGGTCTGGTAAAACTTGTACACCGGTCCGTCCTCTTTTTCCTAAACGAAGAAAAGGGAATTCTGTTTATCGATGTCGAGGCGTTGTTGAACTTCACTACGAGGGATCGTTAATAAAGTAGAGAGAAATAAAACACAGAAGAAAATGAAATTGATTAATAATAAAAGAAAATGAAGAACCTCGATGCTTTAATCACAGAATTTGCGAAGCATTTTTTATAGAATGGGAAAATATTATCATTTCATTCGTTTAATTTAGGAAATTGGAATTTAATTTCATTAGAAAACACAATAAAACGAGTAATTTCTTTCTGACGGCTTAATTAAAAATTTTTCACATTGAAGGTCAACCAAATATCCAAATATTAAGCTTTGAAGTTGAACAGTTCTTATATGCACAAAATGAAACGGAACAATTAACTTCGCATATTCTGCTGCGCGAAAATGACAAATAAAATGCTTGCAAAGGATGCAAGGAGAGGTATTAGAACACAAAAATAAAGCTTCAAGCTGTTTTGGAACAATTAACTCGCTTTCGCTTTTAAATGGAACACATAGAGCGGAAGTATTAATAAACTTGATTAAAATAGGTGTCGATGAAACAGACGAGATACGAGGAGAATTGTTAGGATATTTTGGGAGAATCTTTTTAATGAATCTTTTAATGGTGTCAAAATTAACGAATAAGGACAATTCACACAAACAGGTCACACTTACTCTTTTCCTTATTTTACTTTTTTCATAAAAAAATTGCTTTTGCATGTAAATTACTAATTAATATTAATATTATTCAATTTTAAATTCCATCATTATTAATTTTTCCCATTTTTTCAAGAAAAATAATATTTTTCTCCCACACTTTACGTTCTCACGGAACAAATTAATTTATCATCTTAGAAACTCAATAATTACCCGATCACGATTTTCAAGCTCTTCGATCGTGCCTATCCGTTTTCAATAGTAAAAGAGTTATGACCTGTCGGTTAAATCGGTTCTTCCACAACCAGGAAGACAACGTTTACGTTCACGACGCGTCTTTATGTCGCGATCAAACGATTCCGTGGCGCGTGCACGCGATTCATCGTGCCGTTGCAACGTTAATTCTCCGCACGACAGGATACCTGTTTCACCAGGTGAGCTTCCATGGATCAACGTTCCGCTAATTGATCGTCAATTTGAAGCACGTGAGACTCAAAGATAGAAGCGAACGTCGCGAACGTTGCTTAGAGGATCGTGACGTCGACACGTCGTTACACCGGCGAATTACAGCCTTAATTAACCCTTTCGTTACGGCTCAATTAGTGAACAGGTGTCGTTGGAGAACAAATTTCAAATTTGAACCTAATTTTAGCTCTTACAATATTAAAGGGTGAAAAGAGGAGCATCTTCCATCCATCAGGATACTATTTTTAGAATATCTGTTAAAATAAATAGATTGGTTAATAGAGTCATTATAGTAATCTTCTGTACAAAAAGTGAGGGTAACAAAAGGGTTAAGGAGCTGCTGAATGGTAATCAGCGATGCTGAATTCGTTCTCTCCTCGTTTCTCTGTGTTCATCGACCGAATTAACGTCTGACAATGAGAAAAGAGAGAATAAAAAAGGAAAGGGGAAAGGGAACCAGATAATTGAGGAGATCAGGACAAGAATGACGGAGTTTTATTTCTTTCATTCACTTTTTTGTCGTTTTATGTTACTGCGCTGGTACAGGCTATACCTTGAAACGAACATTTGAAATTTGAAGGGGAAAAGAGAATCAGCTAAATGAATTGTTGAATTTAAATTCGAAAATTTCAATTAATTAATTAAAATGATAGTAATTTTAGTAATAGGTTCTTGTTTATGAAATAATTATTTGGTATGTAGATTATGTAATTTTGTGAATAAATTGTTAATAGTTAATATCGTTTGCTAACTGAAAGTAATTAGGCATTATATAATTCATTTGGCTTTTAAATTCAATAACCCAACTTACACTGAAATTTCATTTATTATCCAATTTTTCAGCCAAAGAAAGATGAATTAATTGAAAGTTCGAAATCATATTTTAATGCCATTTCATGAATTGGAGTCAAAGAAGAGTTTAATCTTCAAATTTCAAATGTTCCTTCGTTATATGAATCGCTCCAATTAGGGAGAAAGTTGAAAGAGGATTTCCTCACTGAATACGGTTGTTATGGTTTTTAGTTTAAATGCCTGCAAAATTTAAAACTGAGGTCGAATATCTAATCTTCTTAGAACCGAAATTTCATAGCTAGCGTTTGAGATTCAAGTACACAGAAAGAAAGTTTGTTCTACAATTTTATTATCTTATTAAATTATCGTATTTTAAATTTGTTATAATGGAATGCAAACTTTCTCCTTATAAGGAAAGATTCATTTGGTTAACCTGTATTCTGCGTCACGTTTTTCAATTTATTTTTTTTTTATGAAATATCTGAAGCTTTTAGTCAATAATATATAGCATAAATGGATCAATTGGATATTCAAGAGTAATTACAAATAAACAATATTGGCATAGGGTACAGAGTAGAAAGGGGCATTATAGAAATAAAATTTTATTCGAATAACCTTCGAATAAAAAATTATTCATTGTTCGCAAATACAGGAAATAATAAAATGGCTCTACTTCTAAAATTCCTACAATGAACATAAATTAATAAGGGAACTTGCTGCAAACAACGTTGAGCTTTTATAGAAACGTAAAAATGGAATAGGTTAAAGAAAATTTTTTAAAAATTATTCCAACTTAAAATGTTACCAATTATTGGAAGAACATTTGTTCTGCTGAAATGGATTCATAGTATTTTTTTAAGATGAACTTTTCTTAAAACATTTTCATTTTCTTTTATCTTGAATTAATTAATTATTAAAGAATGTCTCAGAAAGTAATTAATTTTCTGTAATAAGTTAAGTTTCCAAGTTCTAATGTTAAATTTTATTGGAAAGAAGAAACACATGATTTTTATTTTATTTTTTATACTGAAAATGCAATTTTGAAATAATTTCAGAAGATTATATTTTTTTTACCATTCAATTAACATACAATATTCTGAAATAACTATTAAAAATTTCCATTCAGCATAACGAAACGTCTTCCATATTTTCTCCTCGTTTTTCATTCTTTCATCGTAGTTTTCTACGAAATTAATCTAAGAGGTCAAACTGCAGTAAGCACAGTCGGTTTCCTCCTCAAAAAACATAATCCTTCCATGAATTATTAAATCACCCATTAAATCCCCTTATCACAAAACACCATAGATATACAAATCAAACAATTGCAAAAGATCAATGGAACAATTGTTGCTCCATGAAAAATAATAAACATTAAAATACAACAGTGGATTTAGCATTTGTTTGATTTCTTCCGACTGTTCTTACCTTTTCCATATGTTTTCTAGAGAAACCAATCAAGAAGCTTGACACACGACTAATAATAATAGATAACCGGTCGATCTAGAATCGTCCATTCGATTGTCGCAACGCAGCAAACGCGTTAATATTTATAATATTAAATATTATCGATTCTTTTTTATTTTGCGAGTGTCGGTTGTGTATTCAGTAGTCACTGATGAGTTCATTTAATAAGTACTTACGATGCCCTATATTGGCATGCAGAGTCCAATAGAGACATGCAAAGCACCACAGAATAACATCATTGAGTCAATATAAGAGTAATAAACACATGTACACAATTGATAGAATATTCGACCCTTAATTAGGCTCGAAATAATTAGGGGTCTCGCGTGTCCTCTCTCTCGGAAGATTCTAACATTTTTCTAACATCTATTTTATTCCCTTGAAATAACAATATATAACTTGGTATTTTTCCAACATTTTATTTTTTTCATTTGGTTTTTGTTGATTCAACCCGATATGTGTAAAATAATGCAAACACAGGAGGAAATAATAGTCAAAACGGTTTTACTTGATAAAATTCTAGAAAACATAACATAAAGCAGGGGGATACGATCAACAAGAATCTCGTGTTTCACGAATGGTCGTTGAATTATCAGCGATATCCAGTGAATAATTGAAATTTTAATCGAATCCTTCCTCGCTATCGAGCGTTCACGTGTTCGCGAGATAGTGAACAAAATCAAAAAAAGGAAAAAAAAAGAACACAAGAAATATAGCAAAAAGAACGATTGAAGGTGGGGGGGTTAGATTGTAATTGCTTTCGTTCTTTTTGGTGCTAGTCGACTACAAGAGAACACTGTGCTTTTAATATCGGTGTAATAGAGTCGAACACGTGGTAGATAGTAATTTAATATTGGCATGCAATTAACTCGATTGCCGACTACCGATGAAAATCGTTATCCTGATAATAATCCAAAATTCAATGAAATAATAGATTATTCAGTCCCGACGGTGGATAAAATTTTCAAAATATGTATAATAGTGTAAGAAAAATTTTCTGTGGTGTTTTGTATCGTACACACGACGATTATTCACTGGCATGGTGTTCCGTAATGGTTCCCACAACCAGTGGAAAAGATACGGTGAGGTCGTAAATTAAGCGAAACGTGAGGAAGAATAGACGTGGGTGAACAAGATAAGCTTGAAATAAAGGAACGAGCAAATTTTCTTTTGTATTATTTGAGTGGGGATATTAAACTCTTCTGGGACGAATTTATTATGGTAAAATGTGTATTACTCTTTGGACAATGGTATTTAACCTTATCCTCGATAAGGATGTACAGGGTGATTAAAAAAGAAGTTTATGAGTCTGTGTCGTTTTGTAAATAAGATAATTACAGTTATTATAACATAAGAAGATAATAATTTTAATGTCAATAATATAAATATTCATGACATGAACTACCAAAGACTAGGCAACTTTTTGTATATCAATTTTTAAATAATTGACTGAAATTACATAAAATGTAATTTGTTTCGTGATTAAAGAAAAGCTGGGGAAATTTAGAATTTAAGGATCGTGTCAATTCCACTGGTTGCACAGAAAGTTTAAATGCATCTGTAATTTTTAACCAGATGCAAAAGTTCTGTTGTTTTATTTATTAATTTTTCCCAGTAAAACATTTCACATTTATAAACAATTCAATTAAATTTACATTGGAATAAATACAATAAATATTAACTCATTGCCATATACAGCCTCTTGCACATGAATAACATTAATAATTTTATTGTTATTTTACATAAATAATATTCAAAAATGTAAAATGACCCTCTCTACATTAAAAAAGGATATAATAATATCAGAATATCGATGGGTGCAGCAAATAATACTCCATCAGAACTTTTGCATCAATTTAAAATAAAAAATAAAAATTGAGTTCACGTCACAACAAATTTAATTGGTACATTTAAAAATTAATTCATCAAGAGAAAATTAAATCAAATAGAAGCTCAAAAAATGAATTCAATTCAATCCTGAAATGTTGACTGACCAGTCTGGTAGTTATTTTTAATTCAAACTATAAAATTGAATATATCGGGTTGCATTATCATTCAACAGTTGCAAAACCATCTCTTTTGTTCATAACTATTTTATCATATCTACGCTTACTCTTGCGGTCGAAGTTATGTCACAGGTCGTAAAGTCCTGTAAACAGTTTTACACTATATAAAACATGAATACCTTCGAGGATCACATCATGAACGAGAAAATAATCAATATCGGTATCTTCGTTCTAAAATTTTTAAAATTCAAGCAATTTAAATTCACATCAAGGTGATTGAAATTTTCTCGAATTCAATCATAGCTAACGGGTCTACAGGAAGAAAATTTGACAGAAATTTTCATCGATCCGTTCCAATTTCTCGTCGCTCGTGTGATCCTTAACGAAAGGACCTCCTTTGGCGACATCTTCGAAGGGTGAATAATAGAATTAAACTGTTTAATGATAGTATGTTACGTAGTCTATTTAGCGATAGATCAAGCGTGATGAGATGATTCGAGAAGGGATGAATGGCAACAGCGTTCATGATCGAATGCACTGATTTCATGTCTCATGAGAGAGAGAGAGAGAGAGAGAGAAAGATCATGGCTATGCCGTTCTGTGAATGTCACGAGGGCTAATGCATTTTTACTTATTTATTTATTTTTTTTATTTTGCTATTCAATGACTGTGTCGACGATAATTTCTCATGATTCGTCGACTAACGTTAAGTGTACCGGTGCTCTCATCCTTGACAACATGCGACATTCAAGGAAACTAACAGTCAGAGGCTAGCTGTGCAACGTGCAGTGCATATTCCTCGCTAGACACTGGCGATTTACAAGGAAGATTTCATTTGGTTCACTCTTACTTATCTTTTTCTTTTTTTAAATTTGGATTACTTTGAGATGATTGACGATGTTTCTATTGACACTATTTTGTTAACATTAATTTTTAACAATATTATATATTTATATTGGATATAATTAATTAGTATACACTTTACCTTGGAAGCAGAACTGATGCAATGATTTCGTGAAATATATTAGAAATTAATAATTTGGGATACGATTATCCGTAAGTGTTAGTATTAGAATAGTATTAGAGTAATGGTAAAGTAGTGGCTAAAACTAACGTCAATAAAATAGTGTAACTAAAAATATTGCTGAGGAAATGATTGTCAATGATTTCAAAGTAACCCCAAAAATTCAGAGACACGCGAAGATTATATAAATTGTTATTGTTAGTTAAAAATCACTGTTGATTAGCATCAGGTGTGTAGGATGGTTATTAGAAGCAAACTTTCTATAAACTTCTTATTATTCAGAATAGAATTTTCTTTTTCGAAGTGCAAGTATGATAATGGTTTGAAACAAAAATGGAAATATTGTACAATAATGATCAATAACCAACAATAGAAATATATTGTAATTAAAAGCATTAAATTAATGTTGCTGCTATATTTGTAATTATGATAGACTGTCTCTAAAAAAGCATTAGGTGATCTATAACAAAAATAAGGGAAATTTTAATAATAATTTCTATATTTCTAATCAAAAAGCTATAATTATTTACGCGTTACTAATCAGAGAAGGCAATTTACAAAAGCAAGTGAATAGAAAAATGGAAAATATATCAGAAAAGTCTCTTTTAGCGAAGCAGAACTATCAATCACTAAATAGAAATTTATTTTATATTTTGTTTTCTTCAATTCGAAAAATGTGCCTTTGAGAATCTTCCTTGCAAGAAACGACGGTGCATTCCTCAGGCAATGTAGCTAAGAATTCATTCGAGCGCTGTTTCCAAATCACCAAAAAAAAAAATCGTACATAGATCCATTATGGTGGTCAATTTTTAACATTCTCATCATCGCTATCTAACACCACAAGTGGTTCTAACAATCTCAAAGCAGTATTTCAAAAATCACATAAGATTTTCTGCCAACTTTCCAATAGGATTATCGTAGAATTTCGACTTTATAAATATTTATAATTCCCACAATTGTTCATTTTTTGACACTCAAGTATATTCTTTCACGTTCCTCGAGGTTCGTTTGCATTAATTTGCAATTCTAATAAATTTTCTTTTTTCTTCGTTTTGATGCATAGAATTTATTTCTATAATTAAAAATTATGCTAATTTGCAAATAAACAGCTCTGATTTTTACGTGGAGAACAAATTAAAATTCATATAATTTTAATGAAAAATTTGATCGATGAATAGTTTTCATTCGCGATCAGCTCACGGAAACGTTTCTTGGAGCCGGAAAAAAGGATCGAAAGGAAGAAACACATGAGCGTGGCATTGAGTACGAAAAACCAAAGGAAATCTTTTTTTATCTTTTTCTTTTTTTCGGGTGTATCGAGCAAACGGCTAACAGCCGCAGAATGAACAGCTGCATCGAAATGAGATTTTTTCCCCCAAGGCTTTTAAGCCAGCCTTTTTCGCGGCAAGCAATAAAGCCCGTCGCTTCGTCACGTTGGAAACGCTTCTCTATCTTCTCCCCTGAACAGTTTTTCTCCTCTCCTGCTCTGTTTCTTCCTCTTTCTATCCTCTCTACGATCTTTTGTTTAGTTTTGCTTCATTTAACCTTGTTTCGACAATATTTAACGAATTCTTTACGGTTACTTTGTGTTTCTCTCGTACACAAACGTGCAGCAACGTTTATTATTACTTGCCTTTAAAGTGGTCTTATAGCAAACATAGTTCATTATGAAATTTCTTTAAAATTGAATTTAAGTCATTTTAAAAAAAAAAATTTTGTTTAGTTCCAAATTTTCATAGGGACTGTAATATGTCTTAGTCATCCCTTAATTCCGGTTTTGTTTTAAATTCACAAGACTAAATTTCAGTAAAGTCAAAATTAAATTAGTTAGGCTAATTGGATCAAACCAGAATTAGAATGGAATTAAGTCAGTGTCAAATGGTACTAGGTCAGATTGACTCTGAGTTACATTTAGAGCTTAGATCAATTGAATTCAGATCAAATCCAATCGAGATTAACCTTGCATTAAGTGAGATCTCAATTGGATCTTCAATTTAAGTCTAGGTTTGATCTGTGTTAGATTGAGTCTTAATTGAATCGTGATCACGTTTCGGCTTGGGTATACATTATAGCCTAATCAGATCTATGTTATGTATCGCTAAACCACAACGAATTAAGTTATGCTTGTAGTTAGAATCGTTTTCCACAACAC